TCAAATGTCTCCATTTTGGTAAATATCCGTGCTATTTAAAACAACTGATCAAGTTAAGATCTACTGCTTACTCCCTACGGGGTACTAATATTTTATCACTTCCTAAGCCGTCTACAACCACATATGGTCTAAATTCCTTTAGCTATTCATCTGTTAAGTACTGGAATTCTCTACCTGATCACTTTAGAAAGACTGTAGATTATAGTGAATTTAAGCGCAAATTGTTAGTGCACAGTTTTAGTTAATACTACATTAATTAATATTATATTATATATGTTGTAACTTTTAAAATTAGTTAGGATCGGAGATACTAGCTATGTAAGCTACACTAAAATCCGAGGATAAATAAAGTTTATGTATGTATGTATGTATGTATGTATGTACCCGGGGGGGATGGTAGCAGGTCAAATTGAACCATGCGGAAAACGCAAAACTGGAATCGTACAGCTGATCATAGTTTTGAGTTTCTTTTTATGCAGATTATGACCTGAAAGACTGAGCAAAATTTGTTTCCTTGTTTTCCCAATTCAGACCACGTGATGGTCTTTTGATAGAGGTTGATTGATACCGGACATGGGTGCTTTGCATATTACGCAATAATACACGTCAACGTTTTTCATTACTTTGCAACCCAAGCTCTTGAGTCCTTCAGTTCACTGAGATTTCACTGCAAGGTATATTCTTCTAGCTGCAGTATTTTGCAAGGTAAGTCAGTAAAAGGTTAGCCATAGAGATCCGGTCAGAGCCCAGGACTGTGAATACGTGCGTCGTGAATACTACAATCCTCCCGTTACCCGCATCAATATCGATAAATCCGCTTTCGCATTCCACAATCGTCATTTTGAAATGCTCTTCCTCAACGCCCTGGGCCTCAACGAGCCGATGGACACAATGCTTGGAAAGCCGGTTGCTTTAGTTCTAAACACTGTCCAAAGTCACAATTACACAAAATTCCAAATGCCCAAATGTTTTTGAAATCCCCGTAAAATACTAAAAAAAATAGTACTTAATTGTTTATGACTAGAAGTACTGGCAAACTGGTTCCACTTGAATGGTCGCATTGTAGGATATCTGGCAGATCGACACTCTTACACGATATATCGTTTAATTTTGAAGCGTCTGAAGGTTTTCTGAATATCATTGTACACCTCTCTGTCGGTCGCGGCCCATGTGTTACCTGATTGAAAAAACGCTGTGGCTTAAAACGTTTTAATAACCATGAACGATGAACGATTTATGGGTATATGTTTAATTAGCAAGGCAAAGTAAAACGTTTTTAATCAGTTTGAATGCAGACACAAATCCCCAGGAGTATTTTATCCTTTGTCATCTTATGATTTTCAAGTGTAAGTTGGTGATGTGGCTATGCTCTGATCAATAACTAGAGAAACTAAAGAAACTAAAGAAACATGTGCCCAAAGGTGAAATTGTCGGCTTAGTTCTCACCACAATGCTGAAACTGGAAACTGTTGAACCTTGTTGGAATACATCGGCTCAAGAAACTGACTTGATCACGGAAGCTTTTGCAGAAAGAACTTTTTGCTGTTAATCTTGTGAACTTTAAAGACGAGTGTGAGCCTGATTTTAGCTTACTGAATACTTAAAACTGTAAGTGGAGTCATAAAAGTGACGTGATCGTAGTGACCACTTTTATACGGACACCTATTGTAGTACCCTCTCTAATACGGACACGTCGCTCCCCCCACAGTCCCTTCGTTGTCCGTATTAGAAAGGTTCAACTGTACTTTGTCCTTACCTTTTAAGATTTGTACAGGGGAGACCAGTTTTTCTAACTAAGAAATAATAATTTTAATAATTTTTTTTACTCTAATGAACAATTTTATTCAATTTTAAAAATATGTACATAATTTACAGAAATATAGTAGAAGACTGTCAGGCCACAACAAGATAACATTTGCCATAAATATCTTCCCATGTCACATCTAAGTTAATGAGGTCGTCAGTCACGTGACCGTGATTTCCGAATTAGGTTTTTTTGTTGCTGTGACAAGATTTCATTAACGAGTTTTAAAAAAAAAAACATATTTGAGGGTTTAGTTGCGTGGGGCATTTAAAAATAATCAGTTGACGTCCCCGAAAAAGTTGGGAGACTACTATGCCGAGGGCTGTAGAGAGTCAACCTTTTATCACACAGCACAGAAAATAATTTTCAGCAGAATTTCACTCACTTTTCCAACTATAAACTGGAATTTACTTTGACAATATCTTAGTTAAACTTAGTTCCTGTCTAACTAACGATTTTTGTAAAATTCTCCACTTGTAGCTGATTTCAGCTCAATTTCAGTTTCTTTTGTTGGCCAAACTTTAATCACCTGCAAACATATATTTTCTCGCATATGAATACTATCCTTCTCACCTAAAAACCAATTGAGTTAATTGCTTAGAAATGATAGAAAATCGATCGTTATAAGTTAGTTTTAGATAGTTTCAGGCAGATGATAGAAGAAGGCATATCTGTTGCAAACTTGTCACGTAGGATCTCGACTGATTTAGACTTGATTTTTTCGCTCCATAACTTGTACTCTCCGCAACTATTATTCTTGCCAGTATCAGTTCTTCTCAGAACCAGGGATGCTTACCCTATTGTATAAATTTATCAATGGTCTAGCTAAGGCTTTTTCTTATCGGAAAAAGGGCTTGAGTGTTGATAAATCCTACATATCTTTGACTATATTTTAGCTAGCTAGAAAGACATAGGACGTTATTCTGTTGGACTCTTTGGAGCGGACGTGATATCGCTTGATATGATATCGGGTTTCTCGATGGGTGTGGTACAAAGTGCGGCAGAGTGTCTACTACATGAAAAAAAAAGTCACTGAAATTTCATCTTGCTTGGGTGTTATGTCGTATACATTATTTTTGTATATAACAAGCATTTCTTTCCCTTCAATGTTGAGTGTTTGAAATATATATTTTTTCTCATAGACCTCATGCATCTGCACGCGGCGCGACGAGCGGGAACGGGCCCGTTGCATATAGGTCGCATAATCCGCCCTTTTGGCATATCACGCGAAAAAATAGTGTCAGATCACAAAATGTCTCCAGTTGCAGAAAAGTTCGAATTCTTTGCGACGCCACCAAACTCTTTAATTATTTCAGTGTGGGATTTCACTGCGAGATATTCTGGATCATATTTTGAGTTAAGAGGAACCTAGACTCGTGCTTGACTGAAGACAGCGTGGATTTAGTCCAAAGCTTAAGGTATGCCCATGAGCCGCTCTCAACAGAGGGTCTTAGATACGCAGGTTGGTTCGAAAAATGGGGAGTTCGAAAAATCAAAGGTGGCAGCGGATCACTGACCTTTTTTACCATGGCGTTGTCTTATAGAACCAAGAAGCCCTTAGACAACAACAATGATATAGCACTCTTGTATGTCATGTCACTGTATTTACAGTATAACCCCACTTAATATGCGGACTCTTCGTTAATACGGACAACGGACACTAGTTTCTTGCACAATCAGCAGGTTCTCATTAAAAAATCGGGATTCCGCTGCATACAATTTACGTCCACCAGTGCGAGCGACCTGTTCAGAAATTTGAAAAGCGCCCGGTCGTGCAGGTTTTTCAGTGGGCTCTCCGTCCGTAAGCGACCGCGCGCCGGAGTGGTGGCTTAACATCTAACTAAAGGATTGTAAATCTCATGTATTAACCTTAAGACGCAATCCACCAGAATTGAGCAATTTAATTCTCAGTGGACAAAAACATTGTACTTGAATAATGTAAAGAATATTGCAGTCTTTTTTACTGACGGGTTGAAGATGTAATTAGTTATCTGTAATAACACCAAACAAAATTTCTTACGGGAGTCAAATGAAAGTCAAGTTTCACAAGAACCGTGAAAACACAGGTAAATTCTGAAAATTTCATGCGTAAGATGTAATTTTGTGAAATTTGACATTCCTTTTCTCGGGCTCCAATGAGAAATTTTCTTTGGTGTTATTACATATGACTAATTACAACTTAAGTCCTTCAAAAATGTGAAAAAGAATGCAATATACTTTAAATAATTCTGATATAAGGTTTTTGCCATCTCAAAATTAAAATTACTGAATTCCCTGGTGGATTCGGTCTTAAAACGATACTTGTTGGGGAAGTACCCACTACTATGTATAGCCAAAACAAATCAGACATCAAGAGCACAAGATAGCGTCCGTATTATCCCGATACGGTGTCCGTATTACGCGGGCTCTTAGGGAAAAAAAAACGTTACAGACATATGTTTTACCGATATAAAGACTAAGAAAACGTTTTTAACGAAAAAGAGTTGCTTAATTTCTTAACTATAGCTTAAACAAGTTCATCCAAAGAAATCTCACGATCATATGTCAAGAGGGTCTCACACTAAATTTACCTTTTAAGTATTGTTCCTAAAACACGAGAATGGAATCCGGGACTTTACTTTGTACGCGACTCAGCCAAGTGGACTGAATGTTAGACAGCACTTTTCAAAGGTCACTCGCTGTTTCCGTTAGATTTTCATCGAGAAGATATTGAGTTATAAACGGTTCGCAGAAAGGAATTGTCTGTACAGCAGGGTTGATGATGCATGAGATTTTGTGACTCGGGACATAGAAAAGTGTCCGTTGTTGTAAACGTTTCGCATATATCAGGGGCGGATCCAGGATTTTTTTTTAGGAGGGGGTGCACTCGTCTCTCGCTCTACTTCAACACCAATAAACCACATTTTTTTTTTTGGCAGAATACAAGTTGTATTAGAAAACCGCAGGTCATCTCAGGGGGGGGTGCGCACCCCCTGCACCCTCCCCCTAGATCCGCCCCTGTATATGATGGTTACACCACATACTTATATTATCTAAAAGTCGCTGAAAAAGGCGCCAAAAGTCGTTACAGAAGTCGCTAAAAAAAGTAGCTAGAAAAGTCGTTAATAGCAGAAAAGTATCGGGTTTTCTGCATGTCACCTCAGAGCCACTGTAGAAATATTATTACCAATGCAAACTAAAATGTTTGAAAAAGCCCCCAGTTTCTCAGATCTAGCAACAAGAGTACTAACAAGAGTACTAGCTCAATGGAATATTGAAAAATGCGAAAATTAAATACTTAAGGACTGGCAGTGACCGCTTGCTTAAATTTGCTTCTCATTCTTTTTTTTTTTGGAGTTGTTATAACTGGTCTGTTATATAGCTTCCTGTTTGGCCTTTTTTAATTTTAGTTACTGGTTACTGTAAAATATGTAACTGTTGTGCGTGTGAAAGCACAACAAAGATTTATATATACAAAAAAATGATTGACCCCAGGTGTCCATAGACCGGGGTTCCACTGTATTAATTTTTCGAAACCTCTTAAAAGGAATGGCTCGAGCCAGTTTATTTTATCTGCATGTAAATGATACCAAGTGCCCCAGAGCTCTGATCAGGGTTAAACACTGTGAAACGTATTTCATTTGTTACCTATTTCTACCGCTGCACTTGTCGTGCATTGTTTATTTACCCGCTACAGTCAATCTTTCTCCCACCATAACGCACCTTGAACTTTAAGGTTGTCCTCTTTCTCAACGGACATTTTAGGGTATGATCAGGTATGGTATGTTATGGTAAATGACATCAAAGAGTGTATACTTTCAGCTAATACGAATTGTACTTCTCTGTACATTTTTGGTCCTGAACAACAAATGTATCACGGTACCCAAAGCAGAATATTATCATATTGTTATTTACAAGTTGTTAAATTAATCAATCAACTAAAAAGGGTACAATAAATTTGTTGTTCAGGACCATGCTGAATGTACAGCATAACTGTGGTCTTGATAACTCAACAATGTACTTTGACTGACTTTTATTTCTTTACTACCACATTCCTTTTCAGTTTATAATTTTTATATCTTTTTTAAATCATTTTCAGAGCATACTCAGTTGCTGCGATGTTTTGGGAAGCAGTTATTTTCTTTGCCTCCTTGTCATTCCTTTTCTATTTTCTCCTGATGTACCGTTGGTCAAGGAGGAAAAACTTTCCCCCAGGGCCTCGCCAACTCCCTCTTCTTGGCAACTTTCTGGATATGGGCAATTTTAATCACGTTACCATGAAGGAACTGGCCAAGAAGTACGGTGATATATACATGCTGAACATCATGGGCCACAAGGTTTTTGTCGTTACCAATATTGATCTGGCATGGGAGGCGCTGGTTCGCAAAGGAAATATTTTTGCTGGAAGATCAGATTCTTACGTTTCTCGTGAATTGCACCAGGGAAAGAAAGCCATCGTTTTTGGGGACTATGGGGCTCGGTGGAAGTTGTTGCGCAAAGTTGCGCACTCAGCTCTGCGAATGTTTGGAAACGGCATTGAAATCTTGGAGCAAAAAACTTATCATGAGGTTGATGAATTGTGTCAACAATTCAGCAAATCAAGTGGTGTTCCCTTCGATCCAGCGGAATCCATCAAGTTGGCTGTAATGAATATCATCTGTACATGTCTGTTTGAGACTCGCTTCCCCAAAGAAAGCTTGTACTTGGACGAAATGTTTGAAATGATCGACGAGGCCGTCCACCTGGCCGGAAGTGCCGTCCTGCTCGAGATATTGCCCTTTATGAAGTTTCTACCTCTAGGCATTCATAAACGAATACAGCATTCCGTTGACCTTAGAAAAAAACTGATTGCATCAAAATTCCAAGAGAGAAAGCAAACGTACAAAGAAGGGACCATACGGGACATTTCGGATGCCTTGATAAAAGCACACAACGACGCTGAACTTGAGGACAGCAAAAACAAAGGAATTTTGGATGAGGATTATTTGATAAACACTCTCATAGATCTTACGACTGCTGGCTCAGATACTACTGCTACTTTTCTAACGTGGTCGTTTCTTTATATGGCAGCGTTCCCAGAAATCCAAGCAAAGATACATCAGGAGATTGATAACGCCATCGGCCGCGAGAGCAAGCCTCGCTTTGAAGATAGGAGCAACTTACCTTATTTGCAAGCGACCATCTTTGAGATCATGCGTCACAGCTCGTTTGTGAATGCAACCATTCCTCATCGAGTGCGGAGCGATACCACTCTTGGAAAGTACGAGATTCCTGAAAATTCTGAAGTCATTTTCGATCTAAAAGCCATTCATCACGACCCGAACCATTGGAGAGATCCTGACTCATTTGATCCTAAGCGATTTCTTGACGAGGATGGAAGCTTTATCTGCCGAGCGACCTTCAGCTTTCTCCCTTTTGGAGGTGGTCCACGAGGCTGTGTAGGCCAAATGTTGGCTCAAATCGAAATCTTTCTGTTTCTTACTAGCGTTCTGCCGACGTTTACGTTTAATCTCCCCCCAGGAGCTCCGCCTCCTAATTTCGAACCACCAATGGAATCTGTTGCCCGTGGAATCTTGGTCCCACGCCCCTACAAGTTGTGCATCACGAAAAGGGAATGAAAAGGAAAACGGTTTTTTGAGATCGATAGATCGGTGGACGTGAATATCGACAGATATGGGTGCCTTGCATTTCAGTCTTATTCCAGATTTAAGTTTTCATTTTCTCTAATTTTATGTTTGAAAATGATTATAAATCATTGTTATATGGACACAATAGTACGCGCACTCTGATTGGCTGCTAACCAGGAAAGATTTTCTTGTAATGACCGGGCATTACTATCTACAATCAAGGACACTCAACTTGGGTCACACTGCTCTGATACCTGTCTTTCTCTCTTCCAATGTTATTTTGTAATGGATTTTCGGTGGACTGACTTGTCCAAGTTCGAGGCCAAAATTGAAAGGGACGGGGAAAAGGAGGTCGAGCACAACATGTCAACGTTATTCCTTCAATTGACCCAAGTTTTAAAGGGAACTTCCACCTCAACAAAAAGATAACTTTAAATCACAGGAAATAACTGTTACAGTCAAGCCAATCTAAAATATTTTTAAAGAAAGCGTTTGTATCCGAAAGAAATAACTTTTAGATTCGCCTATTTTTGTTTTCAAATTTTGCGGGCGTCGCCATCTTGAATAATTGTGAAGTGTTACGGTTGCCCTATTGTTATTAAACAAAAGCTCTTTGTGTCAGAACAATAGAGCAACCGTAACGCGTCACAATTATTCAAGATGGCGGCGCCCGCGAAATTTGAAAGTGAAAATAAGCGATTTTAAAATTCACTTTTCCCGATATAAACACTTTTTTTAAGGACAAATTTCGAACAAATTTGTTTATCAACATAATTTTATTCGATTTAAACTTATTCTGTAGTAAGAGTGGAGGTTCCCTTTAATGTCACGGATGTAGGTGTCCAAGACATATACAATCCGTGTTTTTAGCATGATATATAATGGACATCCTTATGGACATCCATATTATGGTCAATTGACAGCTGTCAAAAAGGAATATCCGCTGACCAGTATCACATGACTGTGTCGCAGACTCGAGTGTACAACTCATTGAGATGACGTGTTTTTATAAAGTTATCCTTTGACCAGTCATTGCTTTAATTGATCGCAGGCTCAGTTCCATAATTTCTCATCGTCAAAGAAATGGCCGTAAAATAAATAACTTATTAACCTCGTCTCCTTCGGTCATTACTGCGATTTCCCTGTAATTACCGAACTCAAGGTTAGTAAGTGTAATGAATGAATAACATGGAGCATAGCATGGGCTCCTGGGCCGAGTTGTTCAAAGCTGGGTTAAGATAACCCAGGGTTAGAGCGAGATTTGAATTCAGATTTGAAAGCTTAAAAAGCATTTCAGTTTTAATTCTTTTTGTCTACAAGTTGGTGATTGGAAGCTCTAAAAATAACAGAGAAAATTATCCGAGAAAATGCTTTTGAACACAAGAAAGAGAAACCCCGGTTAAATTTAACTCCGGGTTAAGTGCTAATCGGCCTTCGAACAACTGGGCCCAGATGAATAAACATTCAACAAAAATATTGATCCATTAACAAATGAAAACTAAAGGTGATGTTTCACAGGACAATTTGCAAGGATGATTTTTAACGCAACACGTCATTTCAACATTGTTGCGACATTGTTTCGAATGGTTGCAACATTGTTTCAACATTGCTACGCTGTGTTGCGCTAAAAATCGTCTTTGCGAATTGCCCAGTGTCACATCGCCTTAAAGACGCAACTTTAAAAGAAAAAGTTAAGATTTTTGCATGTGGTTTTTAGGTACAATAATAACTAAATACTTTTGACTGAACTCAACATTAAGTAACATGCTCCAAGCCCTGCAACCTCTTGCAGCCAGTCAGAATATTCAATATTCAAAATTAACAAAATGATTTTCCAGATCTTTTTACATATTTTATAAGTTGGGATTAAACACAGTAAAGAATAAACACATATTGTTAATTGGTACGCAGTAAATGTGCAAATTGGATAACCTACGAAGTTAGCGAACGCTTAAAGGAAAAAGGAAATTTAAAAGAATTAAATTAGGAGAAAGATGGGTGACTTCCTCTTGCTCGTTACACCGCCATCGCGTTCTCATCGCGTTCCCGGGTGATTTCCTCCCCCTTCAAAAACCTGCCACGTAGGCCTTAGCGAGGAATTGGAGAAAAATTCTGACCAAGCTTGGTTTATTTGATTCTCAGTAATTCAAAACCCCTATTTTTCTTTTTTTATTAATTTAATGTTTCGCGGACTTTTTGAGGGGTATATTCAGTGCTATACTCAAAACATTGAGTTTGATTGGTATGAATGATGTATTTAGAAATATATTTCATATAATTTTAACGTAGGTTGAATTGAACTTTTTTGGTGTTTTAGTTCATGTCAATTAAGGGAGCAACAGCTCTTAAAGTATATTGTACTGTGTTTTAATTGTCACTGCATTGATCTCAAGAGTTGTGATTGAATAGATGTTGTCATAATATAATCTGGTTTTTAGGAAGTTGACCGCAGTTATTGTCTTGCAGTGAAAACCCAAAACATGAATACCGTGAACAAGGAGAAGGCGTCGCAAGGCTTTCGAACTTTTCCCAGTAACTTGATACGTTTTGTATATCTTGTATTTTCGCGTAATATACATTGTCGCGAGCGAACTTGCCGCATCGCGTGCAGAAGTGAGTTATGATATTAAGGTAAATCGGAAATTTAATTACGAGGTATTGTTACATTGACGAGACTAGCGAGGAATGCTCTTTGCAAAAAATACTTGAACAGCATAACAAACAAAACAATATTTCTGCTTTAAAATCTCCCATCCCTTGGGGGAAACAAGGGTGGAGCAGTGGTAAGAGCTCTCGCTTCCCATCAATGTGGCCAGGGTTCAAATCCCTGCTTTTTGGTTCTCTCCCTTGCTCCAAGAGGTGTTTCTCCAGGTACTTCGGTTTTCCCCTCTACTCAAAAACCAACACTTCCAAATTCTAATTCGATATGGAACCCCTCAAAAACTCCTAAGTGCTTCGTAGGTAAATAAATTCAATTACGCTCCTTTTAAAGGTCTAAACTTGGACGCCCACCCGCACAATCACGATATATCACATATGAAGGAACCGAGGCCAAGTTATAATTCCACCCTCTTCTCTCTTCCTCATTACTAGTGAAGCTCCCACCTGAATCTCCGCCAGCGGATGTAGAGGAGCCAGTGGAACCTACTGTTCGCGCAAACTTAGTCCCAAGCCCCCACAAGTTGTGCATCACGAAAGGGGACTGAGGACGAGACGGTCGGATCTATCGATTTGAAATGCATGTGTGGATTGTATGTCAGTTTTAGCCATGATTCAAGTGTTATTTTCCGTACGTTTTTTAAAAGTCTTTCAGTTTGTGTTTGGTGATTTATAAACTGACTAGTATATAAAAATGAAAGATAAAGAAATCGATCAATCAATCAATCAATAAAAAAATGAATAAGCAAATAAACAATTAACGAAAACTGGATAAATCTGAACCAAAAGAATTTTGCATGGTTTTTGCATGATACGGGAAGAAATTCTTGATTGAACATCGTATTTGAAGGAACATCTTTCAAACGCCAGATCTTCAGTCAAAATATTCAGTTTTTACCTAATAATAATTTTTAATGATCTTTTATACTTCAAGAAGACTAACAATAAATCTTTCTTAAAATGTGAGGTCAGTCGAGTACTGGGTCTCGTCTCCAGGCCAGTTCACGCTATCCGAGTGAGCGGAGGAGGCTTGGAACCGAGCACGAATACTCCTGACAATTCTCCTGACAAGCTTGACAGGTGACGTCACATTCGAAATCGCAGCCAACGCCTGGGAACAAGACTGGTGGTAGCCAACAGTGTGTCAGGCTTTCAGATAGTGGGAACGCCGCGAAAACAATTTCAAGCAAAAATAAGACGCTCGTGACTCTCCACTCCCCGCGCGATTTTCTCACTAAACGATTTTCTCACCATCTCTTCACATTAGTATCTTGAAAACTGGAACAGACTGGAATTGGGGGAGAGTAATAATTTTAGCGCCGCAGTTTTGCAACTTGTATGTTTTTATAATGCTGCAAAACAAAAATTTATACTCTTTACTGGAAATTCATTTTGTTAGACCGAAACACTGAATTAAAGCATAAATGTGATAAAAAAACTGCGGCCATGAAGAAAGTAATACCCTCGAGACATTTTTTTAAAGGCAACTGATAACATAAAAGCCATATGTTTTCTACTTCTTTCCTTAAAGGGCTCTTAAATTAACAGGAAATACACTTGTCTTCATTTGTGTATGCTAATTTCCCCAACTCATTGTTTTTCAAGACGTTTTGAAGGATGAAATATTTTTTGTGTTTTCAAGTTGTTTTTTGTACGGTTCACGCTTTGTGCCTCGCTAAAGGTTTGAATATAAGATAAATGTTACGAGATGGATCATATCAGCTCTAAGAAGGAAGGAATATTTTGGAATTGTTAGTTTTTTTGGGTCGAGTGAAGCTTATTCGTCGCTCGGTCAAGACAGAACAGCTGCCTCTTTGACGTCGCCTCGCAATGAAAGAAAGGTAAAACTAGGACTGCAAATGTCTAAAAATGAAATGGCTACTTTTAACTGAGAAATACAGCTAATGGTCCGTTGAGTAACGAATAGTGGTCCTTCGTATACTGAAATATTCAGACAATGAAAAACTGTTCTGTTGACTTTTTATGATCAAAGTAATTTCACTTGCTGCATTCAAGACGATTTCAAAATACATGGCACTCGGGAAATAATTTCTGTAAAACCTCAAAGGGAAAGATCAGAAAAATATCACATATTCGATTTGTTTTCATTCCATTCAAGTTAAGTTGTTAACTGGGAAAAGTCTGTTAGAAGTCTGAAAATTTAGCGTTCCATATGACAAAAATGTTCCTCGCAGAAATAATAATAAAAAAAAACACTAATAGTTTATGATTTTGGTAGCGTGCAGTTTTGTTTTCATTTTGGGTCTTGAACCGTCCCTGTCTTTGAACGCGTATATATTATAAAGAATGTAAAATTCTCTCGAAACTGATCAAGCGTTGGAATACTCTAAAAACACCGTTAATAAGCGAGCTTGATGCATCGTTCACGGTCTGGGAATCAGCTTTAATCTGAGAAGTCATCATTTTGATGCTATAAAACGAAGCTTTTTTTTCGTGCTCACGTTAAACGTTCAGGGAATCATCGAGTCTTCGTAAAAACAGGAAGAGTGTTAAAGATTATCTTGTACTTTAGACCTGATAAACGATAAATTAACGAGAGTCTTGAGATGGCTCACTTGGATTTTGAAACCGCCTATTCATATTAGAGGCCAGATCGTGGAAGTATAAAGTCCAATATTTTCACTGCTTGATTAATAACTACTCAAATGTTGTTTATAGTAGTTAGTTGAGCTACTTTTTTAGCCTCTGTCTAGAACATTTTAAAAGTCCTATATTTATACTCTGACTGCCCGAAAATTGTGGTTCATAAGCAACAAAATTACCGGCGAGCAGGAGAAGGTTTTTCTCTGGCACGCCTAGTTTTAGCCTTGAGGTCGTTCGCGTAGCTTGTCAGTTGCGTGGTACGTTGGTTTGTTCGTGTGCTCCAGCTACGCGTCTGACAAGCACGCGAACGACTTCGTAAACGCTAAAAGCCATGCAAGAGAGCAACCTCAGCCTAGATCTGATCGCAGGGTACAACAAAATATGAAACAATAAGAATATGAAACAATAAGAAGTGTTTTTAAAAGGAGCTGGTTTCTCTTTGCATTTTAGATTGCGCACTAGCTATTCACACGAAAACTAAATATGTTAAAATTTTATTCAACCGGGAAAAGATGTATGAAAACAATTATCTTTCCAGACGCCCTGAAATGTTGGTGGAAATTTTACGGAAATGAATTATAGGAACTATTCTATTCAGTCTTGTCTACAAGTAAGAATGTTCATTACTTTTTATCATTTTATTTCTTTTGTCCTTGGAACGTACACACTTCAACTGTGAGGGGGCAGGATACTTGAGGCACTTAAAAGACTCCTAAACAACAACATCAAAAATAATAATCAGTAAAATGTTTCAAAAATCGACACTCGGCACCCCGGACTTCAGGGTTTCGAACATCAGTTTGTTAATATGAATTAAAGCACTTAAACTATTTGTAAAAGATTCAGTGTTGGCTGTTTTGTTTGGTTGAGGGAAGTATGCTTATCCTAGGGGGGCGATTAACAACACGACGACGGCGGCGGCGCAGGAGAAAGACAAAAAAGCAATAGCTTTAGATTGGCAAAACAAAACTTTGCACGTGCATCACGCTTTTTTGTACATTTCTTTGCCGTCGTTGCACGACTACGACGTGAAACTTTCCAGTTTCTCGTTTAATGAAGGACGTGAACGACAAGACAAGGATTTTCTTTTTCTTTTTCTGAACTTCGATACAGTAGCAGAATCAACTCCTGAAGAATTCCCCAACATTAAAGAAATTGTATTGTATAAAATGGAACACTAGAGTAATAAAGTTTGAAACAGCGGGAACTCGCTTTCTAAATGACGTTTTCGCTGCTGTTGCCGTCGTGGTTGCTTAAATCTCTATTATGGCCGATTGGGTGGGTGTTTTTTTGGGGGGGCGGGGGGGGAAGGGCGTTCATTCGAGGAAATACGGCAATTGGCCTTTATATGATAACGACATGGCAACTGGAATTAGAAAAAAATGTTAATGGATACGGAGACATGCAGGAGCCCGTTAAATTCAGGCGTAACATACGGGTAATTTTTGTTACTAGCTGTCAAACCCCTTTAAAATGCTCAGTAAGGGGGCCATAAAAAGTGTCCGTATCAAGTGGGTTGAATTAAATTTTGAGAAAATATAAGGGTTTTCTCTATCGAGGGATAAAGAAGAATGTCTGTAATAATGAGGTGTCCTTATCAAGCGGGTGTCCGTAAATTGGGGTTCGACTGTACTTGTTTGATAGAAAATTGTTTGAAATTAATAATGAATGATTTATTTGTATCTCAAGCTCTAAAGTAAAGAGGGATGATACAGATGGAAGACGAACATACAGGGAAATATGGCAGAGAAGATTAACTGAAACATACCAGCAAGGCAGCTGCGAAGAGTGCTGCAGGTGATGGGCATGCGCGCCCTGCTGTTGAAGAAACTTGTTTTTGATTACCTATTCGAGTTAACTGAATTTTGAAACCCAAAGCTCTGTCTTAATATGATTTCCATAACACCTGTTGATCTGGCTGTCCAGTAGTGATCATGAACAATCGGCAGTTAAGGCGTGAATGGTCGTAACGTAATATTGCACCGAAGTCGTGGCATTACGGACCAAGCGACGACTGATCGAGAGCTCACGCAGTACTGCGCCAAGCAGTTCAACAGTAAAAGGTTTATCATATGGCCCCGACCGTAGAACAGCCAATCAGAGTTCTAGTCAGTTTTGAGAATCGCTTGCCATTCAGTTATCTTGGGATGAGAAGGGGCAAATCTCCCAGTAATCAGAAACCCTTACTCCGTTTAACTTAGGTTGACTGAATCTAGCTCATTTACCTTGTTTCATCCTTGTCCCCAGTTAGGCCCCCATGGTGGTGCGGGGGAACGAAAGGGGTTGGGATGCTCGTCGTCTCGCTTAAGGGTAGAAATTTCGGATTTTGGTCTCACTTAGGGTGCTCTGGGCAAAACTCTATCATATTTAGCAGTGAAGGTCTCGTTTAGGACTGCACGCGAAAAATTGATATATATTGTCTGTGTTTTAACATGGTCTCTTTTAGGGGTCAAAAAAAGCTTGGGCCACGCCCAGATCGGTCTCTTTTAGTGGTTTAATTCAAAATTTCCGACGAGGATCCCCGCCCCTTTTTATATGCTAAGCCCCCCCCCCCGGGGGTGGAGCTTAGGCACAACATAAATGAACTGTAGAAATTAAATAGCATTTTCAAAATAATGATAACCGTTAGCAAATAATTGAAAGGATTTTACCTTTATTTTGCTAGCGTTCTTCGTCACCTTATTGCTGAGATGTTGATAGGGATGACGTGGCAACTTGGACTCCTTGTATTGGTTTTGATAGAAGTTTTCATCAATCTCATTCTCATGTTGATCGAATTCCACGTCATAAAAGGTGACGAAATTGTATTGAAAATATAATAACTATCGCATCTAGCGCCCTTCAGTTTTGGAACTTACAAAAAATTCAACAAATTAATAATAAATTGAAACACCCATCTGTAAATGACAAAAAAGTCCTGAGTTAGCCAACTGCTAGAAATATAGCATGGACCAGAAACTCATAAGGGGTTGAAACGTGTAAATGTCATATGTTTGCTTTGTACGTTGCTCGTGACGTTAAAATATTCATTTTCGCAAGCACCATATTTGGAACGAGAATTAAGAAAAGATAACTCAGGATGACCAATCAAACGTAAATGACGTGACGTAATTGTACTTGTCACTTAAAAGTGAATTCGCGATTATCTCATCTCCTTCAGATCGTCAAATGTTTGCAAATTTTTCAGGGGTTGAATCCTAAAGTTTGCATCGAAGTTAAGGGGAAAAAAAAGGAAAGAAAAAGAAAGTAGTTGTCTTGTGTTTTCCCCCTCCGTGAAATTCGGCACATTCGCGTCGTATAACTGAATCGTGCAGCGACGGCAAAGAAGGGTACAAAAAAGCGTGATGCAAGTGCAAAGTTGTTAATCTTATTGCTTTTTTTAGGCCGCCTCGAGGGTTTCAAAATATGGTAATTAGAAAAACGAATATTCACGAGCTTTGACCGCGAATTACACGTTTCAACCACTGATGATCTGAGTTGATCTGCATGTACTTGTCGTACTTACTCTGCTTCCTTTAGATGAAACACAACTTGCAAGAATTCTTCTCCATTTTCTTGGCATCTTTATTCTTGGTATCTTTGTCCTTGAGGTAAGTCTAGCAAAACTGTTTTTGGATTATATTAATTTCTCCCTTTATTCTCATGTATTTCGTCCGTTTGGATTGCATTCAGACCTTGCCCATCTGGAGCCGGAAACTGGATACAATTGATATTATCGACTATTTTCACAGGTTTTGCTGAAATTCTATTCAATGGGATGCGAATATTACTTGAAGGACAAAATGGAGGTAAGATTTGAATTGAAGTTGACTTTGTCCCATAATTCTAGACTTCATAGCGGTAAACACTTGTTCTAGATCCCGGTCTGACGACTCACATTCATGCCATTCCAAAATAACACATTCGCTGCCTTTTGCCTTCTTTAGGTCTTTTGCCAGCCATCTCTGGCAGAGGTTTTAAATCTATTTTTCAGGTTTATCGTACTGTCAGCCAGCCAAAAGATACTTTAAACAAAACGAATGCATGTCATACTCTCATCTCTTAAGGACAAAAAAACTTTTAACTTGAGGCCTTTTGCACACAAACTTTTTCAAAAAAATGAGCCAATTTTTAAATCTTTTTTTTCAAGAAAGAATTTTTCCTCACGCGTTTATTCTCCCGTACTGTCAGCCAGCAGAAAAAAAAAAAAAAAAATCTTTTCAAATAAGCAATAGAAATAAATGCGCTGATTCGGTAATACGGTCAAAATAAATAACTTATCTCTCAAAAGAATAACTTTAAACAAAAATGAAAAGGAACGTCACTAAGCCTTCCCCAGATGAATATTCAGTCCAACTTGAATATAATACACCAGGCTGTTTAATAGGTCCTTACCTTTTGCATAAACATGAATCTCATGAATCGTCCTAACCGCCAGTGAACCGTTGCCAGTTATCCAGTGGCGGAGCGTAGCCTAATTTCGAATTTCTAACAACGGACCAGGATCCTAAATAAATAATCAGCGCGCAAATTCCTTTTGAGGGGATATACACCCAAGAAAAATTTCTAACAAATTAGAGGGATAAAATATCTCCAGCAAGAATTTTTGATACATTTGATAAATTCTTGACCGCAGATTTAAGACTTTACTTCCCAGCAGAACAGCCGAAACCTCAGTTCCCAGCCAGCAAAATTTTCTCTGTAGAACAGATATTGTGAGGAACAGATCCGTTGGGTGCCCCTGCTTTTGGGGGAGTATTAAAATAATGTGCTTTTAAATTAACAAAGGCGTCTCCGCGTCCTCAACAGGTACTTTAGAAAAGCTTGTTTCCTACTGAAGATAAAGGGGTCCTTTCAGTCACACAAACGAGTAAGGAAAAGATCACCCATGATATGTGGTCGACGGGCTTTACTTGACGACCAAGCCATAGTAATCTGTGATCTCAATTCTCAATGGTAGCAAAGAATTTCAGGCTTATGACTGTGAAACTTCTTACTTTGTAAAGCCTCCGCGAGCAGGCTGTCGTCTCGTTGAAGTTTTTTTTGCCGCCCCTCCCGCGACCCTCTCGCGGCTATACACACCGCTCGCTCTTGATTGTCTTTCAAAAATTGAGCCTACTATAACAGGCTATTTTTGTAATGAAGTTGCAACCGACAGAGTTATCTTGTGTTGTGTTGCAGTGTCTTACGAGCAAGGAAGGCATGGAAAGGATTCAGCTTTATTATCATTCTTCGACTCTGGAGAATTTTCAGAGTTGTAACAAGTAAGCCGCGCGCTAAAATCACTAGTTGCAGGTTTTTGTTGCCCGTTTTAATTACCGAAACTTTAGGTACCGTAACCACTAACAGCGGCTACTACGAGAAACGCATATTTTTATCAACGTTTTTTGAACTACCTTTCTACTCAGTATCAAATGAAGTTTCAAACATTTAGCTGGATTTTTGCAAAACACGCTTTAGGAATGTTAAAGGGATATAGACTGCTTGTAGTCCTCTTCTCTGTCAAAATCCCTCGAGTTATCCCGGCGAGTTCGCAAAGCAGTGAAGGGGTTGTTTCTGGGAGATCGATGCTTCACCGCTGGCGTCAGTCTGTGTGTGGCGCGCTTCCTCGGTAATTTTGAGAAAAAAAATAGACTGCTCATAGTCTAGAGCGATTTGCCAGCCATAGTAAAGCTGAAATACTACTTTTCATACAGCTCCATAAGGTTGAAAATCCCTACAGGCAGGCCAAAAGGAAAGGAATTAAAGAAAAAAAAAGTAAATGTCTTTTTCATTTCGATTGGCCTTACTGGAGATAGGCTGAGAATGAAAGAAAAACAAAACGAGGGGAAAAAAAATAAACAGAAGCAAGTACAAAGTCGTAGTTTAGTATTCAAGGTGGCAAGCGTGCAAGGTATAAAGCAAGTATTGATCTTTCTCAACAGACCTGGTCGTATTCGGCGAGGATTTCTACGAGCTGATAGAAGAAGACGGAGCTAAGCCAGCGCAACAAGAAGAAACGGAAACAGAGAAAACCACAGAGAAGAGTGAAGAGAAACAAGCGTTAACCAGGAGTGACTGAGGGGAGGATCCAAGACTGTTTAAGAATAAAAACAGAGAAATAGAACTTAAAAGAAAGAATAAAACTAAAACAGAGTACCGAACAGAGGTTTAAGTATAATAATAAGGGCTGCTAATTGATAAAACGTACAAATGTTTTTATTTGTTAAGCAAAAGATAGAAAATATTGATATTTACTACAATCATGCATTAAATTTGAAATATGTCAAATGGAATAAAACGAAAAAACAGGCAAGCATATCTACATGAAAATTACTGTACAGAATAATGTAAATCGTTCTTCTTGAATTCTACCAAAGTATACGAAGCCATAACGGATTCTAACTAGTTTCGTATTTTTTGTCTTTAACATCACGTTCGCGCCGTAAATCAGTGAACGCTTTCACTCGTGAAAACGCCAGCAATAATATAATATTCTTCATTAAGACTGTTTAACTTTCGGCACTGAGACTATACGATGTGCAAATTCAATCCAAGGGCTTGGATTGGATACTATAAAAGTCCTTACAATTCTATACTCTCCTCTCATCGTAGCCATACGACAAATTCCCTTTCACTGGAAAGCCTGATTGATCAAAGTATTTTTCACCGGGACATAATACTTGAAACCATCAATAACGCAACGTTTAGCGCATTGATTTATTGTCACGTGAACACTTCTCACTTTTTGCCTCTTCGTCGGGCGGTTAAGCGAGCCCGCGTTTTTGCTGTAAGCGTACTGCTTGCACCTTGTGGTGTGCTTGGAGCGCCAAATGACGGCGCAGGCGTAGAGGATGCAAATGCAGTTCCCATGGTGCCAGTCGACCCGGGATTAAAGTTGAAACCACCGCTGGGCATGGATGGTGCAGGCATGGCCACTGGGGCTGAAATTACGAAAAAGAAAATGCGTGTAAAACAACCACACAGACAAAGAAATCGAACTGATGGAACAATGAACCAAACAGAGAAGTTTAGTTTAAAATACGACGGTATAACAAATGTTCCCGGTTGCAATAAAATGCATGGGTCTTCTTTGCAACTCCATCACGAAGAACACATTTTCCCAGTCTTTTATCACTTGGTTGTATCGGAGCTTATACCATATGGCCAATATACAGCTAGGGTGGAGTTACTTGTACCTTGCACTGATGCCTGTCCAAAACCACTAAACGAACTGCTACCTCTTGTACCTAATTGAATGAAAAAAGGTTTGAGTAAATGTGTCAGTTCATCAGGTTATTAGGTACAGGCATGTTTAAACATCACATACCGGCATATGTAAGTACCCCCGAACATTCGGTAATAAACTGAAATATGTGTAATATATTGAAATGGTGCCAGAAAACGTTTGTGTTTTTCTGCCCAATCAGAAGGCAGAACGGCGGCGACCGTTTGGAACTGGTCTGGTAAGACATTGTCCCCAGGGGCTCTTCTCGCCGTTCTTTACTTTTCTTCGTGCGATATTTTTCCGCCGGTTTAGGCTTTCCCTCGCCCCCACTATCTGCCTCTGGGTCTCCGAGGATGATGTTAGGTAAGACTCAGAGAGGCTAAATTTTACCCTGTGTTTCTTAATCTCAATTCAGTTTCGTATATGTGGGTTTTTGCCGTACTAAATTCTACGCGGATTTGACTAGTCATTACTATCGATATACAGCTAAGATCGTTCCATGGGAATCAGTTTTATGATGTCCGCATTAAAGTACCGTAAAAACATGTAACTGCACTCTAATCAAAATGTTGGTAACTATAACATCAAATCAAAAACTTACCAAACTGAAAGCTACCCGTATTGTTGCCTGCTGCATTGAATGTAAATCCTCCTGGTGTCGCCTTACTTGCGGTTGCACCAAATTGGAAACCCTCAGAGGTACCTGTCGCATTCTGGGTAGCTGTTGCCCCAAAGGCATTCTGTGTAGAAGGTTTACTACTAAAACTACTAAAAGGTGAGTTTATGTTGGGTTGAACAGCATTTGGAGCAAAGCTGAAAGCAGATTTCGATGCCTGATCAGTAGGCGCACCAAAAGCGCTCTGTTTGGCCGGCTGGTTCAGTTGAGCTCCAAAGGCATTCTGGGTAGCTTGGGTTCCTAAAACATTTTGGGTAGGAGGTTGCTGTGGAGAGCCAAAAGCACTCTGGGCGGCTTGATTCCTAAAAGAACTTTGGGTAGCACTTTGACTTCCAAACACACTTTGGCTGGAAGTTTGTCCAGCTTGCAATCCAAAAGAATTCTGAGTTTTAACAGCGTCTGAAGTAAATGCACTCTTAGGTCCAAATGCACTCTGGGAAGCTGCTTGGCTTTGCTGTGCTCCAAAAGCTTTCTGGGTAGCACTGGATCCAAAAGTACTCTGGGAAGCTGGTTGACTCTGTTGTGTTCCAAAAGCATTCTGGGTAGGAATGGATCCAAAGGCATTCTGAGAAGCAATTTGGCTAGGCTGGGTCCCTAATGAAGACTGAGTAAACGGACTTGCACCAAAATTAACACTGGAGGCACTCTGTGCTTGGCCTGTTGACGCTGATAAGGACTGCAAGCTAGTGGAACCAAATGCTCCTTTGTTCTGTGTTGTTAAACCAGATGAATTCTGAGCTGTGAATGCAGTTTTTTGCCCAAATATGCCTGATGAATTTGCAGTGAATGTAACAGCCGTAGATTTAGCAATTGATCCAAAAGGACTCTGCGTCGTTGATGTTAAATTGTTTCCTGCTACTCCAAAGGTTAAAGGATTTTGAGAAGTACTTGTTGTTAACGTAACAGTATTCTTACTGTTTATAACTGCAGCCCCATAACTGCTTTTTGATCCAGTCGTCTCTAAGCCAAAAGTATTATGTGTTACATCTGGAACTGACAATTTAAACCCTCCCTGTGTTGTAGTTACGGCACTTGTTAATGCCCCTGAAGAAGAAACTACAGGAAAACTAAAATCAACTTTCTGGGAAGATGGCTGACTTGAAAGCAGTGAAGATCGCACTGATGACTGAACTATGCTTGCACTTAGTTGAAAAGTAGTTGTAGATGTACTTTGATTTGAAGAATCTGCCAGTGAAGTTAAATTGTCAGTTGCCTTCGATTTCAAGAACGAAGAATTTCCAAGTGATGATGAAGAGAATGAATTTGTTTTTAATCCTGGAACGCTCAAACTTGTCGCAGATGATGTAAATGGTGTATTTCCTTGTAAAGTTCCCAGGCTAAGATTTGATGCACTAGCACATGTGGCTGTAACCAAATTATCTTGTTTTGTAGCAGCTGTTGACGACACTGCCCCGGTTGTTAACAAGTTTGCAAGTAAACTCTGTTGGGATTGCAATAATGACCCTGCCGAGGATTGGGGTTGGGCAAGAGCACCATTTCCTTGCTTTGTTTGACTGGCCAGGGAAATGGCAGTTGCTAATGGCTTCCCTGTGGTTGGTTTTGGAAATCCCGTGGACAGAGCTGGTGTGACAAGGCTTTGAGTGGTTACTGTGGTTAGACTTCCTGTGCTTGACACAGGATTACCAGAAGGGATCTTTAATAAGGATGAAGAGATGCAAGTTGGTGCAGTTGTTAATGGCACTGCTGTTGCTCCTACAAAGTAAAAAGAGGGCGTTAAAATGAAAAATCTGTATCTAAAAAGTAAACCCATTAGAGAGCTACATACAGAAATCATACATTCATGTACGAGCCACTTGAATTTCCTGAAGAAAACACTAGTTAAACTGTCCGTTTTATAAAGCTTTGCGGGACAATGGAATTAAAATGAAAATCTTGAATTCCTGCTCTCAAAGGCCAACGCTTGGCAGGTGAGCTTTAAAGGTCACTTGCCCAGCAAAAAAATCTTCATGTCTTTGAACCAGACAAGTAATAAAATGGGACTGACTCTGTCTATGATCTAAAGTGTAGGCCTTACATGAGAGATGGATATCAAGTGAAACCCTCACTAAAAAAAGTATCTATCTATCTACCTATCTAACTGTCTGTCTACCTGTCTGTCTGCCTGTCTGTCTATCTGTCTGTCTGTCTGTCTGTCTGTCTGTCTGTCTGCCTGCCTGCCTGCCTGCCTGCCTGCCTTGTCTGTCTGTCTGTCTGTCTGTCTGTCTGTCTATTCTATGTATCTACTTTGGGGTGATTCGGTTCTGGAAAAGATGAAAAGAACAGCAAATAACGATTTTTACCTGACTTTGACTTCTCTTCCTTTTCATCCTCTTCTTCCTCCTCTTCATCATCATCTAGAAATTTTTGGACTCTTTCCCACGCTAGCTTGCGATCAATGATGATCTGCTCCTGGTTAATCTTTCTGCTCACTTTTCTTCTTTGAGGCTAAAATTCATTAAAAGAGTTTGTTAATACTGCATTATCATTTTTTACCTCATGTCTTCATTCCCATTGGCTAAGAGCATACAGATGATTCATTCATGCTGCCATCAAGCTGAACACAGACAGGGGGATTCACGCATGCAGAAGCTTCCCAGATGGCAAGATCCTGCCAGTAAACAACAGCAGTACAAATGCCCTTAGTTACTTGATTTGGTGGTGAAATGTAAGAGTTATGGCTCTTTTTGTAGTGATGATGTTTATGTATGATTATAATCTAGACAAACAAAACAAGTTTACTTGTAAACTGTAAGAGCTCTTACCATCTCAGATTCCTCATTAGAAGCACAGTAAACTGGTACAGCTCGTCGTCGTGAATCTTCTTTAGAAGCAAACCTTGGAACCATAAATCGCTTCTGCAATCAAAGCATTATTTTAATAACTTTGCTACATGCACATACAAGTATGGGGTGAATGGATTTGTATAGTACTAACTGTTCTTCATCTCTTCTCCCTGACCTTGCAGAATTTTGTTTCTCTTTGACCATTCCCTGACCTGTGGCAACCACGTAAATGGCGCACATTGACAAACAAATTTGTAAGTTGCAGGGTTTTCGGCAACTAAGTATCAAAGCCTGAGGCTGCTTTAATCTAGTGATAGAGTTGGAAACAGTGTTGTAAGAGTTCTTATTAGCTACTGAACATCAAAAATGCTGTTAAATAGTTGTATGTGAACTTAAATTGAAGTTAAATTGAAGTTAAAAGAACAAAGTTTCTGTTTTCTTCTTACTTGGCGTGACTCCATCACTAAAAATCTGGTGAAAACCAGATTGTTGGAGTTGGAAGTAGAAGCAGAGGGATAAACCAATCAGAATGCTTGCTACCAGGCACTGTAATTGGTTTAGTTCTTCAGATTCTGCTTTCAATTCTCATGAGCTAGTTCTCACTAGATTGTACAGGATGTAGTCTTAAGAGGAATTGGAAGGCTGCTTCAGATCACTAGATCATAAGCTCTTGTATGTTTCTCATTATTATTTTGTAACCTGAGAAAAAAGCTGAAATTTTGCAATACCACCACTGGTTTCCCTGTGAAATGACCTCTAAGAAACAAGCGCAGAAATTCCGTACTGATGACGCATTACTACCCAGATTTGGGTAGTGCTTGAACTAATGGGTTGAAGCAAATTTCCCTCACGGCATGACCAATCAGAGTCACTACCCAGACCTGGACAGCGATGAGTCATCAGTATGGAATTACTGCACCTGTTTCTCAGATGTCATTTCCCGGGGAAACCAGTGGTGGCATCGTAAATGTTGGCTGTTTTCTAAGGCTGCTGATTATGACTCTGGCTCTTAACACCATCGAACCAGCTTTGAGAAAAACAACCACACACTTTCATACATGTACCTGCTTTTTCTTGGAGGCATCTACAGTCTTGTGCTCTGACTGCTGAGCGGCATCATCTCTGTCTTGGTGAACAGTAGTGACTCTATTAGTTTCTTTGCGCTTTTTTACATCATCTTTTTCCTTCTGAGAAGTTGATGATCTCTTAGATGAATTCTCCTTGTGTTCCTTGTCACTTAATCTAGTATCTTCTTCATGGCTACTTGTATCAGAAACAGCTATACTATCTCCCATGTCTGCATCTTCTTCTTCAACTGTTGCATGTCTGCAAAGGAAGAAGTGTGAATTATTATAACGCTGTCATAATTGTGTGTACAATTCTTTTTCTAGAATATTTTGACTTTCTCCAGGAAAATGTACACTAATGCTTTTCCATTAAACAGGCAAAGACTAATAGATAATACTGACCTGCGACATTCATCATTCCCAGTGGAAGTATAATTCTTGTTCTTGATTTTCTTGGATCTACTTCCTTCTGTATCCTCCTTGCTAGCAGCCTGTTAAAATTTAGTACAAGTCTTAAGAAAACTGATACAAAAAAAATTAATGATCTACTACAGAGCTGACTTTGAATACATCAGGAGATAGCATGGCTGAGTGGTTAGTGCACTAGACTGAAAATATTAAAATGGTTTTGTTCCTTGGTAACCCTAGTTAAGCCCCTGAATCATTCTTAGAAATAATCTGTGGCCAGCTATTTTTCCGCTGTGTTTACAGGAAGTAACGTTTTGACTATCTTTTGACCAAGGCCAGTCAGCTTGCCATTTTGAAAAATCCTCTTCCCATGCCCTCAAGAAGGCTAAAATCAGAGTGCTCTCTTGAGTGTGCTAAGTGAACTAGTCTTCCAAAATAAACATTTTACATTTTTGATTATAGATTTGTCCTCTGTTATAAATTATTTGAAAAAGAATTTGCTCAAAATGTTGATGAGTATTTAACACAGAAGTATTAATTAAAATAACACCCTTACGTGTGCCAATTCTGTTTCAACATTTTTTCTTTTCTGCAGCACAGAATTTCTATGATCTTGTGCCTTCTCAGCAGGTTGAACTGTAGTATGATCTATGATCTTGCTTCTCTTGTTGATATTTTCTTCTTTCCTTGTTTCTTTACTGTCCTGATTGGCTGTCCTCTTAAGACCTCCAGATAACGTTCTGTTGGATCTCAGGAAAGGGCCTCCATCAGGAGAATCCAAAGTTTTACTGCTAACTGGGTTAGTACCTCTCCTGAAGCACGGGATTGAAAATAAGGACACAGTCGTGTCAATTCTCTACATGGTTTACAAGTACAACTTCAGACAAACAAATTTCAACGACTTTTCAATAACAAATTACAGTTTTCAAGAACTAAGATTTATTCAATATATTAAAAATTGGCATTCTTTAACCCCCTTTTGAACACCTCACGCATGGCAAAAACATGTCATAGAGTCATTAACGACTTTTACTTCTTCAGCCATAGTTGATCACGTTATTTTTTACTTTTCACAACAACACTTGCAAATGACTTACAATTGCATCTGAGGTACAGAAATAGCATTTGAAATAAAGAAACAGAAAAAAAAATGTTGTTCATGCATAAGAATATTATTATGTTACCCATGATGTTTATTAGAGGATGAGCCAAATTTTCCCTAGCAAAAAAAAAAAACTAGTTTTACAGAAAATTGTGTCTGGAATAGACAAGGTAGTGAATTTCAAAGACTTTTCAAGACCTAATAAAGAAATCAAGTACTTTTCAAGGACTTTAACTAACTTCAACGACTTTTTACAACGACTACTAAAATTTAAGACCTTTTCAAGATTGTATGGGCCATGCTCTAAATGACGGTCCCCTTTCAGACCCAAACTAAGGTTAGTGTGCATGGATCTAAGAGTGACATTTGTCTTAGAGTTCAATTAAGGGAGTGGAGAAAGGCAGGAACCAATTGTAGGTTTTACCAAGGTGTCCATCTTATCGAGGCTTCTGATATTTCATGCGGTTGCGGAGCCGCGAAATTCAGGTAAATCCACGAAATCCCACGAAATTCACAAAAACACGAAAAATACCACGAAATTCGGTAGAAATCTTATCAAATATATGTCTGTACATCTTTGAAACTTATTTCAGCTATTGGGGCTATTTACTTGCCATAAACTTGCAAATTTATCTTAGAACTTCATCACTGAAACGTACAAACAACTTTTCGAAACTACCAGGCATAGATTATGTTGCAAAAAACTGGGCACTAGCCATGATGTTAAAGGCTTTGCCATTGGTTCACTTCTGGAGCGTATTGTTGTTGAAAGAGCAAATGAAGACCTCTGTTAGAAAAACGTTAAAAACGCTGGTCTGATCAGTGCAAACCAATTGATTTTTTAGTGAAATTTGCCTTGAAAATAACCACAAAATCGGCCGTTTTTTAACGATTTTGCCCTGAAAACTCCCGTGAAATTACCGTGAATTTCTCCCTAAAAATACCGCAAAATTTGACTTTTTCTTCTGCGACCTGTCAGAAGCCCTGTCTTGTAGAGGTGTTCATTATTAAGAGAGAGTTGACTCTTATAGGAAAATGTACAAACTTCATATTTTGCTACACTGCTGTTGCAAAGTTTGGATCTGTGAGAGGCATGTTTTGTAGATATTTCACAACATTTGTATACACAAAAAATATTGAGATATCATACAAAAATTTCTAGGGGGTCACATAATGGGACAAAACATTTCTACCAGGCCCTGGTTGTTCAAACTTTGGATAGCATTATCCACCAGATTAATCACTATCCAGTGGATAAGTATTAGGGAAAACAACCCCTGGAGTCTCTATTTCCTCTCCAATGCACCCCTCTTCCATCCAGAAAAAAGCAGCAATAAAAAACAGGAACAAGCATAAATAACAAGCTTGCTCATAGGCTGGTCTTCACTAGCATTAAGCAAGGGAGTCGTTGTCATAAACAGAAGTGTACAGTTTATGAATCTGACTATGTTCCCTGTGAACACCAGCCTTTAGGGATAAAAAAGAGATCACTAACCTTTTTGTTGGTCGTAGAGAAAGTTCTAAATCATCTTCCTCATCAACAACATAGCTTCTTTTTCTGCTTTCCTTTAGGGCAGACAGGACAGTAGCTCTGCTGCATGGATTTGTTGGGTCTGGTGTAGTTCTTTTTAAAGGGCTATTTGATCTTCAAAAAAATCATGTCATAATTTAAATTAAAACAAAAATTGACAATATGAAAGAAACTTGACATTTCAATGGTCTCATGTCATCATTGTCAAACAACAAGAAATTATCAGGATTCGTGGTAATATACACTGTATATCTAGCTAGATTTTTGAAAACATTACAATCAAATGGACCTTTTGTGTCCAACAGTTTTTTTTTCCGGCCAAAAACTCCCTCCAAAGAAAGCCATTGTAAAAACTAAGAGTGTAACCATTGCTTTTTTCTCTTCTCCTCCTTTCCTACTCCTTGCTCTTTCTTTTCCTCCTTTCCTTTTCCTTCATTACTGTGATTTCGGAGCTTATCGAGCATAAGAAAACTGCCTTTTGACGCCTTGTCGCTCAAATGACTGCAAATTTCATTACGTTGGGTTTCCAAAAATTGGCTAGATATAGAAAGGTAAAGTGCAAAAAGGGCATGTACATTTATTTTAAGAATAAAAGTGGAAAAATGACAAACAAAGAGTTTCGCACAGATGGAGTCCAGTTGAGTATTGAGTGTGGGTCTTTAATCTCTGATAATTTGCAATCTAAAAAACCCATTCCCACAAGGATGAATTGCTTTGTTTCAAGAAAACAAATCATTTGCTCAAGAAGTGGCACACTGAGACTAACCAATCAAGATGAGAACTGAAACCAGAAAGACATTGCAGGTGTTCTTGGTGTTGCAGAAACCATTCTTGTTTTGCTTTTGTGCTGTGGTTTGGGGATTATACAGTCTCTTTTAATCTTTTTGTATTGCGTCATTTGGTGATTTTACTGGCCTGCACATCTGAGAAACTACCGACAATGCTAACGTCTAGCTAAATAGATGTAGTACAAAGATATAAATAATCATAATGCATAGTACATGATCAAAAAAATAATACTAATTACTCTGACTTACAAAGTAAATGTTCTATTAATTGTGACATCTGGTGAAGCAATCTTAACAGTGGAAGGTCTCTGTAATGCTGGGTTTAACAGGCTGAAGTGATTTGATTTACGCCAGTAAGCAACAGGGCTCGCTCTTGATAGCTGATATGGGTTATGTAATTCTCTGTTATTATGCCATGGTTTCCTTGCTTGATGTGGTGAATACTGGGGTATTGAACTGAAAAAACAAAACAAAAAAAAACAAAAAAGGTTAAAAGATACATCAGTTGCATACACTGTACACTCTAACTTACCAGTGATCACACACCCAATATTTGAGAAACCTTTTTCATATTTTTCTCTTTTATAATATACATTTGCTTACATTGTACGCCTATAACTGCAACCTTAATGTAAGCCTGCTGTAAATTTGCACTCTTTCAGTCTTTATCAGATTATTCCCACCCACTTTCTTTGTCAGTTGAAGGTAAAGCCCACTGGAGTTGAATTCTTAAGGACCATATCCAAGTTCAGAAAGAGAAAAATAAATTTTGTCAATGTTTGTTTGCATTTTCTATAAAATGCAAAATTTGGCACTGCCAGGGCATAGTCGAGCAAAAAATAATGGCAAAGAACTGTACAAAAATGTGTGATGCATGAGCACGGTTGTCGTTTTGCTTATTAAACATGTTCTCTTTTTTTACATTCTTGTCACCATCACGTTGATGAATCCTAAAGTTCCTAATGTTTCCTGCCAAACAAGAGGAAGTGATGTCATTTGACGTTTTGACTTAGGCGACACGTGGATGGGCATGCTTGATGGAAGAGCAACCTGTCACTTGTAGTGGTTTCTCTCCCTTCGTAGCTTAGCGTCCAGACAGGAAAAACCACTGCTTACAGGGTAGAGGGAGGGGGAGGGTTTGTATATTGAATTTTTATGGAATGGCTCATAGTATATACAGGTATCAAAGAATGTGCAGGCTTTTATCAGCGTATCAACGGAAGTACAATAATTATTTAATGTACAACTGTGTACATTTACTCATGCATTATTATAGACACCCCCCATTAGAAAAAGAGCTTTTTAAAAGTAAAAAATTATCCCATTAACGAAGGTTAAGGCAAGCTATAAGCAGAAAATAGTTGGAACATTTTTAAGCGTAATTAATAAGCTTACCTCGTATTAAAACTAAGCCTCTTGGTGACTTCAGACAGCAATGGCATAGGTGATCGGAGCGTAAATTGCCCTTTTGGTGAGCCAGTAAATTGCATATCCTGAAATTCCGAATAATAGTCGTGCATTTTCTCTTGAAAAGGCACATCCGGTTCGTCTTGTCCTATTTCATGCGAAGAATATCTCTGCTGCCTTCCAAAGTTATACGCGTAAATCAGGAATGTGAACACAAGAAGAAAACTCCAAACTAGTCCAAAAAATGCCCACAGAATAACAATAACTAGGCCAAGTATGCCTAAAACCCGAAGTTCGCTTTCTTTCAACGCCATATTCCTCGAAAAGAAAGCGAACTTGTTCGGAATATTCGATCAAGACAAAATGTCGGACTTGAAAATCCTTTCTGCGCATGACAAGTGCAAGGCGCCATTTTTTAAAACGAACCTCGCTTTCATGATAACATAACTCTTTGACAGGGGACCACAGAGGAAAACTTTTTCTCGAATTTGGCGTGTTTGGGATATAGCCTGAGAAAACAGCCGACATCTTTTTATCAGGCTATCTGGAATAAGGTAAAAAAAGAAAGTGTAGACATAAATAACAAAACAGCTAAGCGAAAAGCAACTTGAGGTTTCCCGATATTTCGTACGGACAAGCCGTCACTCTTAAGGGAATTTAATGAAGACTCGGAAAGTCGATTATTCGTTCCGGCGGTCTGAAAACGAAAGTGAAGGATGATCATCGCAGTACATTTTCCAATTTAAGCAATTGGAAAGAAGAAGCCTGAAAAATTCAGGGCCTGACAGCTGAGAAAACGAATTTTCAGGAGTTTTTGGCTAGCATCCCCGGGAGACGTTCAAAGGGCTCCCTTTTTAAAATTGTAGCCTGCGAATACAGCCGTGTCTCCTGGCCCCTTGGCGCTAAATCGTCTGAAAACGATTCGGAAAACGATTAGAGACTTTTTGGATCCACGCAGGGCGTCGGACTGGCACCTTGTTATCACAACCCCTTTTTCTTCCTATGAAAAACCCAGATCATTTCCTTATTCTACAACCTCGGTAATACGACTAGCCGATACGACCAACTACGACCGCCTTTTGGACAACTGTTATTTGACGCTATTTTCTTCTCTGTTTGAAAAGTATTGCGAGAAGTCGCGCGCGAGAGGGACGCCAAAGGAGACGGCTCTGCCGACTGAAGTGACTTCAATACCGCTCCTTCGCGCGTTCTCTCAAAACTCGCTTCGCCTGCCACTCGGCACAACACCGACAAATTTCACGCGGAACAAGCTTTGCTATCGTTAAACGGGGCCTGAGTATAGTCGTCTTCTATATCCTTGTTTTAGAGGGGAATGCGGCAATGAGATGATAGGGGGATGGGAGACACGGCTGTATTCGCAGGCTACAAAGTTTTAAAAGGACGCCCTTTGAACGTCTGCGCGGGATGCTAGCCAAAAACTCCTGAAAATTCGTTTTCTCCGCTGTAAAGTTTGATAGTGAATGTTGCGCAATCTGCTAAGACCGGCTCTACCCATGGCAATTGAATTACTAAATTTAGTAAACTCCCGCGTTAATTTAATTTAAGTACAGGGACGTTTCACTGGAAATTTAAGCGAAAGCGCCAGTGAGTCGCTGGTGAATTCGAAAGTAAAGAGCACTAAACCTTATTTGTGTTGTAGTTTCACGATTTTAATCCTTCAAATGTCAAGAGGGCACTTAAATCATTACAAAAAACATAAACATCATTACAAACACTAAAGTCAATTAGATTGATCACACCACGTTTAAATAAAGACTTCAAATCCCCTCCCAAAAGCACGCAATTATTGACTGCCAACGTGTTAAGTGTAAGGAAATGTTTCATCCAGTTTAATGTGATTGATATACTTTGGGAAAGCAACAGTTTTTTAACAATTATTCGGGCTCTGAGTCAATAGCCCATAAGGCCGAAGGCCGAATGGGCTATTGACTCAGAGGCCATAAGCGGCGAGAGGAATAATTGTTTTAGTAAAATTCAACTAGTTGGTCAAAAATATCGAGACAAAACAACTTTAGCTAGCTAAAGCTAGACTTTAATCCTTTTTTGTAGCCAAAAAGCCGGCGCTTTTCGCTACAAGTGGGCCATAACATATAGCGCAGTATAGCAGCTCAACAGATCAGAACGCAGCATTGATAATAGACCTCTGGCTGGATCATTTACTAAAACCGGCTATTTGCAAATTTTGCATGCACATATTATTTACTTTAGAGTGTCATTGTGAAAGTTTCAATTAAAAAGGTGTTCAATTTCAATTTTTATAGTGTTACTTACAGCTAATCAACACGTCATTGTTTATAAGAAGCGAAAAAGAAAAACAGATGGAAAATTGATTTTTTTTTATTTTTCTACAGTTGAAAAGCATTGTCAATTTGCCAATTAATTGACTAGACGACAATGATCGACTTCATGCCAGGAAAAACATGGAAAAAGGAATTGACGGATTATAAAAAAAAAATTAAAAGAAAACGGAAATTATTAGAGAAATCCAGGGAATCGTAGAATATTTCGAGGACCAATGATTTGCATGTTTTGCTCAAGTTTATCCCTTGAACGAAATAAATGAACTAGACGCGCGGTTAATTTTAATTGGGCAGGGCGGTATTAGAGATAATAGTCTTTAAAACCGTCTAAAATCTTATTACTTTACTGTACAGCAAATAAACCTTTTCACAACGCATTACAATGCATTATGCAAGGTGTTACAATAATTAACGCACGGCTTCTTGCACTTCGATATATTTCGGGAACTTGCCCAATTGCGCATTCAAAAACTGATTAAAAACGAGCGTTGATCTGAAGCCGGACTGGAAAACTACAGATCGCAATATCTTCTAAGATGCTTCCGAGGTTTCAAATAAGTTTCTTCTTGCTTCTTCTTCTTTTCCTTTTCATTCACGGCAGACAAGGAGAGGGAAATTTAGATACGAGGAGCGTGAAAGTGAAGCGAGCTTGCGGCCGTCGTGGAAACCTTCAGTGGGCGCGATGGTTACGGCGATGCGGGCAACAAAATATTCGCAGAGAGGAGGTAAGATGGTTCCGAAATAATTAGAAAAGACTTTTGTGATACTTATAATTGCGAGGCGTCAATGCTTCCGCGCGACAGAAATAAAAAATAAAGTAAAAGTAACTGTAGGCTAGTTCAGAGATTCAAATGAAAGCTTCACTGAAAAGCAATGGTTTCCCCGCATTTTGTGTAAACTGTTTTAAGGTGGGAGGATGACCAGTGACTTGAAGTGGGGAGGCGAAGGAGTGGTCCCTCTTAGTGCGTCTTTATTTTTTTGGCTGAAAAAGTGGGGGAATGCTTAAGACCACCAGCCTGTTTCTGTATTGCTCAAAAATGTTAACTATTGTGTCCTATTAGTGTCTGGGTCTACAGGCGTATATGACAGTGCCAGTATAGAATTCGGAGGTGAAGCCAAAAGTGGCCAACTTGGCCTTATTGCTGACTAACGGCCAGGATAGATCAAGATCAAGGTTTATTGATCGAAACTTTTCCATCTCAGATCGATCCCATGTAACCATATATATCTATAGATTCATAAGAGGAATTTATGGCATAGCTAGATAGCGAAAAGTTTATTTGTGATTATGATGGCCAGAATTAAGGCAAAGTATTTTAAAGTATTATATATTTTTTACCTCCAATCGTCCAGATAAAAAGGTCCACCTACACTGATGATCTTCTCAGCCAAAGGTCATTACAAGGAGTGGGAAGAGTTAACATGTAGATATTAGATATGATCAAAAAACATTGGGGACGAAACATTAGCAGGACGATAAAGAAGACTAACGATGCGCATGGGCTAAGCCTAAAGAGCGCTTTACAGTTCTTCTCGTTTTAGGGTGCACAGAAAGATTCAAAGAATATCAGTCATTTTGATTAATAAGTACCAAACACGAAAACCCACTTAAAATACTGATAAACGCTCTGAGTATTGTAATATATTTTCCTCTGGTACTAATAAAGTTACAAGTAGCCCCCAAACGTGAATACTATATCCGATCTCTTCCAAGTGAAACTTACCCCTTTTGGTTTACAAAAAGGCGTATTTCCCAACCAGTAAATTTCAATCGAGCAGGAAACCCTGGGGGTTTCTTATAATGCCGCACGGGAGGGGGGGGGGGGCTAAGTCATCTCAGACATCCCAGTCACCCTTGTCATCCCAGTTATTCCGATCACTCCGCATCCTAGTAATTCCAGTCATCCTAGTCATCCCAGTCATCCTAGCGATCCCGGTCACTCTGCATCTTAGTCTGATTCCAGTCATCCGATGCAGTTATCCCAATCATTTAGTTATCCCAGTCATCCTATACTGAGATATTCCGGTCAACCCAGTCATCCTAGTCATCCTGGTCTTCTCAGCCACTCTGCATCCTAGTCATCCCAGCCATCCTAGATACCACAGCCATCCTAGTCATGCTAGTCATCCCAGTCATCCCGGTCACTCTACATCCTAGTCTGCATCCTCATCTTACTGAGTTATTCCAGTCATCTGAGTCATCCTAGTGATGCCAGTTATCATATACTGAGTTATTCCAGTCATTCCAGTTATTCTAGTCACCCCGGTCACTCTACCCTGAGTCATCCCAGTAATTCCAGTCATCCCACTCATCCCACCCATCCTATACTAAGTTATTCCAGTCATCCCAGTCTTCCTAGTCATCCCAGTCATCCTGGCCGTGCAAGTCATCTCTGTCATCCTAGTCATCCTAGCCATCCCAGTCATTCAGCATCTTAGTAAATCCCTGAAAACTGTGTCAACAGGAGTTAGTGGAGAGGTTTCTTTTTTCATCGAAGTTGTTTTTATGCTTCGTGAATTAGTCCACTGCCCTTTCGGTTCTTTGAGACATAAACGCCAATTTTCATAAAATTTTCACAAGTGTCATCAAACAGAACGTGTAAACCTGTTTCTTTTGGTCAAAAATTAGAATTAGAAAAGATACTTATAACATGCACGTGTTCCTTCACAGAACAGAAATGGATAGTGCGACTAAAGAAAGCAGGACTGTCAGTAAGAGGCGGAGGCCGGGGATTTCCTCCGGCTACCATGAACGTAGTTAAAGGCTTCTTTCAAGAACGGATAGAACCAAAAGAAACCCCTAGCTGTTTGATTTCCCGCCACCTTGAGATCTTAGCGACAAACGCTGCGAAACAGTGCATCAATTTTACTGTTCAAAAGCTTACAAATGTAAACCATTAGGCAAATGAACATTTTAATTGATAATCAATCAGAATAAAAAAGAAGAGAGGCAACCAATATTATTACAATGTAATATTCTCCAAGCCGGTTTAGTTCTCTTTTTTCTTTTCTTTTTCTTTTTCCTAACCCAATTTAACATAAAAAACCCGCTTTTTCAT